CATGTATACATATATATATATATATATTTATTAGAATTCAAAATCAGACATTTATATATTTAAGTGATGATATTTTAAGTTCTTATAAATTGAAAAGTTTTGTTAATTGTTATAATTTTGTTAACGTTGTAATTAATAATAAGAGTGTTAAATATCTCGCGCCTATTTAAACTATCACGTTTCAGAGATTGCGGTCTTTCTTGTTAATTAAATATAGGGTTTTTTTGGGCCCGGGGTGAGGGTCTGGCTCTTCTCCGATATTATTCACGATGTCTGAACACTGTGACTCGCGGGAGTTCCGACTCTCTTGGTGGCCTTGATTCCCTCGCGGGGTTTCTTTGGGCCCGAGTTCAGAGTAGAGCTCTCCGGATTACCTCCGCGCGGTTACCGGATCACTCATGATGTTTTAACACTGGTTCTCGCAAGAATTCCGACACTCTTGGTGTCCTTGATACCCTCGCGGGGTTTTTTTGGGCCCAGGTTCAGGGTCTGGCTTTTCTCCAATATTATTCACGATTTCTGAACACTGTGACTCGCGGGAGTTCCGACTCTTTTGGTGTCCTTGATTCTCTCGCGGGGTTTCTTTGGGCCCGAGTTCAGAGTCGAGGTCTCCGGATTACCTTTTCGCGGTTACCGGATCACTCACGGTGTTTCAACACTGTGATTCTCGCGAGAATTTCGTCTCTCTTGGTGTCCTTGATACCCTCGCGGGGTTCTTTGGGCACGAGTTCAGGGTCTGGCTTTTCTCCGATATTATTCACGATGTCTGAACACTGTGACTCGCGGGAGTTCTGACTCTTTCGGTGTACTTGATTCTCTCGTGGGGTTTTTTTGGGCCCGGGGTCAGAGTCGAGATTACTCCCCGTATTAAACTCCTATCGCCCTGAAAAGGTCGCATCGTACTGTTGCTTGAGGACATCTAGGCAATCGTGATTGTGAAGATACCGTAGTTGGGAGAGTCTTGAGAAAGTCATAGTTACTCTCTTTTTCGCGAATCCTATCTCGGGTCGGGGCGGGTCGCGTTAAAAGTCGCGCCGCGCAGTGACTCTCATTCTCTCTTAGTCCATCGAATGAGATGTCTTAAAGTTGTCCTGTCTCAATTGTTGAATTTTATGTTTGTTTGTTACAGTATCGCTAACTTCATCCTGAGAGGAGGAGGCCTGGGAGATGCATTGGGCATCGCCGTCAAAAACGTTGAGGTAAATATAATTTTTTATTCATATAAAATAATGTGAAATGTTAATTATTTTAAGCATATCTTGCAAATGAATTTTATGTTTGTTACAGTATCGTCTACCCAATCCTGAGAGGAGGTGGTCTGGGAGAGGCATCGGGCATCGGCGGAGCAACCTTGGGGGAAATATAATTTTTTATCCATATAAAATAATAGTTTTTTTGCATTTGTATCATTTGATTTTAGTAAAAATAGTTAAAAAGACTTAAATGTTTTATA